TCCCCCAATTCGCGGGCAATTTTGCCGGCTCTCAACCCGTGCCCACCCCCGCCCTCCCCTGTTTACAAACACAGCTGTTGCCGTAGCTTCGCAGCGCACCCTAAAGCCACCAGCAGCGAGAGAAGGTGCAGGAAAAGGAAGGGGGAGGAGGAGGGAGGTGGTCTCGGCATCTGGAAAGGACGGAGCGCCTTGTTTTTGAAACTGTCAATTCTCTCAACCCCTATTGTGAGAGCTTCATGCAAAACATCTCGGCCCTTTTAACGTTGGGGCTTGTGGGGCTGCCTCGGGTTGAAAAGGAAAGGGAGAGAAGAAGAGAGGAGGGGGAAGAAGCAGGGCAACGCAAATAATTATATCAGAATAGACACGCACAGAAATTACAACGTACCATGCGATGCGCGCGTGACCCCCTCCCCACACACACTTAGTTTAATCGGGTTTGGACCTAGGGGAAGCGCATTTAGTCAACACAGGGGCACACAATCTTTGTCTTAGTCAAAAGTAAGAAAGCCAGCATTTCTCTACCTTAAACAAACCACCCCCCCCCCCCGCCAACGCACATGATTGTATTTTCTTTACAAAGCTGATCTACCAAATTCCTAGGAAAATATTTTACCAGTCTGATGCTTACAAGAGCAATTTAGTTAGGTAAAATCCTGCCCTTTGTCATGCTGATATCAAAAGGGGAGAAGGGTCCTATCAGCTTCTATCTGAAAGGAAACTTTCTGCCACCCCAAATGGAGATGCAGTTGAATCATGTACTTTTCTTTCTTATCTTTCCCCCCTCTTTTCTTTTTTTAACGCAAGTGTCTTAACTGTAAAAAACCACAGCAAGCAAGCACTTCCTGTCTTGTATCTGTGTTTCCCAAAGGCCACTTTTGAGAACAACTCTAAGCATAATCACACGTGTAAAATGAAGCGAGACATGATTTCATGTCTCCTTTTCCTACAAAAAATTAAATATTTTGGCAATAACAGCAAAATCTAGGGTGGGTGGGCAGTGAATATACATGTCCCCCCACAGATTTTGCTGTTATTGCCAAAATTAATTTTTTGTAGGAAGAGCACACACACACACACACACTTGCATAAACACATGAAGAGTAGCCTTCCATAAACCAGACATGTTTTTTCTTTTTTTTACTACCTAGTGGTGTTTAGAATAAACAACCAAATTGAGAGCTTTATTTTGTTTTTCATTTATTAAAATAATTTTGCCTCTTCAGTTAAAAAATGATTGGGCTTCCAGGGGCAACCTTTTTCAAACCATGAACTGATGGCAAAAGGCCTTTTTTTTTTCTGAAAACCATTTACACATCCAGTCCCTTCTGAATCCTGGATATATAAAGTTTCCTTTGTGTTGAGGAGTGAGTGGAGATCATTTCTCAGTTACCTGGCATGGGAAGAATTTCTCTGGTGTGGGCTTCCAAGGTAAAGCTCTGAGTATGTGTTAGTAGACAAAGTCAATTTTTATCAGTTTGGTTTAGCCTCAAGAATTGTATGTGTATTCATGCTTGTGTATAGGGGGGTTCTGGTGTGTATGTTTGTATGTGGGAGTATTAAAATAAGAACATTTCACCTGCATTCAAGCCTTGTTGAAAAATTAAGCATGCCTTCTGCTGAATGCTAAGAAGGTCTCACTTTCTAGGGAGGACAGGCAGGCATTCCTCAGGTCATTAATTTGGGCTGCCCTCTGCTCCAAAAGTAGACCAGCAGAAGACCAGAGGTTTTCTCTGGAGCAGGACAAGGAGGGTGTGGCTTCTATGTTTTCCTTAGCATTCTTAATAAGTCAAGAATCTTTTGGACCCACAGGAATTATTAGAATAGATACTGGGGAAAATATCCGGCTGGACTTATGACCTCTCTTTTTCTCTTTACATGTATTTGTTAAAAAACAAAACAAAAAAACCCCTGACCCACTTTTTCTCTTAAAACTAGGGCTTTAAAAAAACTCCCAAAAACTAAGCATAGAGGCAGTGGCCCACATCATCCAAGGTATGATTTAGTATTTGAAATGATCAGGTGGATCAATACCTTTAATCCAAGGCTGTAAAATTCATCAATTAAAATAATATATAGTCAAGAAATATATCAGCATTTAGGGTTTTCCTATGTACTCCTATTTACTAGCCATTGACTTCAGTGGACAAAAACAATGGAGGAAAAAAATTGCACCAGTATGTATAATGCAATGAAAAGGGAGGGGGAAGGGGATAAATGGATGTTTTGCCCCCCAGGATTCTCAGAGACTTAAAAAGGCCCTGGCTACAGATGTTGAAGTAAGTGGGCTCTCTAGAATTTGGGAAGATTCAAAGATGGGTGGTTTTCTTAGAGGATTGTTTTTACTGAGCAATCAGTCCATTTTTTTAATGGAAAAAGCAGCCTGAAAAGCTGAGCATTCATCTTGCAACTTTTCAAAACTGTAAGCAGCAAATT